ATGAGGTCCACATCTTCAGAGTCGTCGTCCTTTATTTCCACCACTGGCTCCGCCATTCCACATGGCATCACCTTCACTGCCGATTGCCTCACCGTCAAAGGCACCAAGGACGTCCTTAACAAGCCCTTCTCTTTCGAGCTCTCCACTGGCAGGGATACCATGTACTTCACGGCTGAGTTTGTAGAAGGGAAGAAAAGGGGGGAACAAGAAAAAGGAGAGAAAAAGAGAGCAAGAGGACTTCGGTTAGAAGGGAAGGTGAAAGAGGGGTTGGAAAAAGCTAAGGGAAAAAGCAGAGGGGAACTTCGTCTGGGAGCCAAGGGAAAGAAAATAAAAGAAACGGGCGGCGGACGGAGAGCCTAAAGGAGAAGAGACCGAGAGAGTTGAGGGCAAAAGAAAGATTGAGGGAGAGGTGACAGCAAAAGGAGGGCGGCGAACGGAGGAGCTTTGGGGAGAGCAAAAGAAAAAGGAAACAAGCGACGGGGGAGAGATTTTGGGGCTGAGCGAAAAAAAACAGAGAAGGAAATAGGGGCGGCGGATGGAGAGTTGAAAGAACAGAGGAAAGGGGGAAAATCTGGAATTTGGAGGAGGAATTCCGGGCAGGGTAAAACGGATGGAAAGGAGCAAGCAAAAGAGGGGAACTGAGGACTTCGTCTGAAAAAAAAACAAGAAAGGGAAGAGGGGATGACGGCAGAAAGAAACAGAGAAAGAAAGGATGGCGGTGGACGAAGAGGCGTGCGGCTGAGAAAGAGCCGGAATCCACCATTGCCGCCGTTCAATGCAAGAGCACCGGTAATGAGTGGTTGCTGTATGAAAGCACCGGTAATGGAATTAGACCGGTTGGTTACTTTGGTTCAAAGTTTTAGAGTTAACACAAAATTTGGGTTAAACCAAATCAAGTTGAATTATTAAAAAATTAAAATACAAATAATAATAGGCCAAGTGGCGCAATATTATAGGTGGCACTGGTTTGGCATTGGATTCATGTCACCGAGGATCCCAAGTGAGGCGTCCGCTACGGAGGTCCGCATCGTGGTAGCTTTAGATTCGGTGCCAGTTTGGCTGCTGCTTGTAGAGTTCTACACTTTCTTGCTACGTAGACCAGCTGGGTTACCTTACGCATATATTCTCCACGCTCCAATAAATGGAATAGGAAAAACATAAATATTTTGCACATAATTGCATATATTTTATGTAAATATGCTATTCAAAAATGCAATATGGTGAAATCATTCTCAGTAGCGGACATACTTTAAAATCATTCTCATACTTTTTTTTTTTTTTTTATAGATTTTAGTGTAGTCGAAAAGTTTTGAATTTGAAACCTCTCGTTTATATTCTCTCTCCCTTATTATCCAACCTATCTCTCCTCCCGATTATTTCCTTGTTAAATGTAACACTGGTAAAATTAACTCGCCACATGCTTTGTTTTAACTTGAGACCAAGTTAGTTGTTTGCCGATAAATTGACTTTTGTTTAATGTCCTAAACTTTTCGTAAACCAAAAAAAAACAACTAGAAACAAAACTTGGAGATGCTATAGTCCCTTTCTAGGTGTCTTATTCTTAAGGTCAATTTCGCCGTTAGATAACAGAAAAAAAAAAAGAGTGAATGGTCAAAAATGTTATCAAACTATTAAATATGGCATGGGTCAGTCATTAAACTTTTTCGCAGCTACAAAGGTTACTAAACTGGCAAAAATGGGTCACGGAGGTCATTTTATCAAATTCTATCATTAAAACAACCAGTAAATTATTGAAATTCAACGATCTTTTTAGTAAAATGACCTTTGGCAACTAATTGTTTTACCGGTAAAATTTGACAAAATAACCACACAAGCCTATGTTTGCTAGTTTAGTGACCTTTGTGGTCACAAAAAAAGTTTGGTGACTAACCTGTGCCACATTGAATAATTTAGTGACATTTTTGGCTATTCAATAAAAAAAAAAGGAACACTTTTTAGGTATCTTATTCTTAAGATTAATCTCGCCGTGAGATACTAGAATAAATGTTACTTGACCCTTAAATTGTCACAATTATAATTATTTACACATATAACCCATCGTTGAATGATGTATCAATTAGTCGTTCGATATAAATTCAAGGAATGGTTCTCTAGAGGAGCCATAAAATTTTCTACAATGTATATATATATATATATATAGTTGCTAAGCTGACTTATCTGCACCTCAATTTAGGATGCAGAAATCTTTCAGAAGCAAATTTTTTTATTTCCTTTTATGCTTACAGAAATAAGGTGCTTACTGCTCTAGTTTTTCCTTTTAATTTTCCTTTTATTTAGAGGTAAGTAGTACGGTTTATTATGAACATATATATATATGACTGTTCATAGTTTGGCATATATCATCCCATTAGTACAAACGGATGGTCACTAATTCAGTACTAGAAATTAGCAAAAACGAAGTTAATTTATAGCTAAATCCTTGTTCTCTTTACTTCCAGGAAAACCCTCCGACTAGCAACTGGATTTTTAACATTTCCATCGCTACCCATTGCACAAACTTTTCTATAATAGCAAAGCAGCAGGTTCACATTGAAGCATATTCCATTTTCTAATCCATTTCATGCAATTACTTATCAACGAAAATTTTACTCTACGATGGACAATAATTGCTATGTTTTCGAAACGATAAAACTAGTTGTCAGTCATATTCCTTACCTTAACCCCATAAAATGCTTGTCAATGTTGTTAAATGTTAGGTGCTAGCATCTTGAATAATCAAGAGGAGAGCAAGCAAAAGTTCAAAGGAGAAGTAGAGAAAGCTAAACAAATTGGTGACTAACAGAGAAAGAGAAACAGAGAATGCCAAAAAAAAATAACGTCATTTTTCACCTAGAAAAGTATTGCTCGAGACTCAATTTTTACTTGTCATTTAGTTTATTTTGTCACTTTTAACAATTGGTAAGTCATTATTGAGCTGTGGGAGCATATTTCGATCCAAGACAACTGAAGTACTTACCTGACCGTTAAAATAGCACGTGAAAACAATAAAAATAATCACAGTACTTGGTATATTATTGGGGATAATTGCAGAAACCTTCTCTAAGGTTTCTTACAGTTGCACTCACCTCTTTTGAGATTTTAAAAATACCACTAACCTCTCCTAGCATGAATTTGGGGCACACAGCTGACGTAAGATAGGGTGAATTTACTTATATACGCTTAGAGTTTAAGGTTGTTAGTAAACAAATTTGGGTAAAAAAAGGGCAATAAATAAGTTCAGGATAACTAATTAAACAAAATTAATAGTTATTTCTTACCTGATTAAACACTGGAAGTGCACTTACAAAATGTTACCACAAAATGACGCCAATTGATACTCTAATATGACATTATTTTGTGATTGATAACATTTGAAAGAGCAATCCAAATTGTATATTATCTACATAGAAGATAAGTAGAAACAAGAAAAATGTAAGGGAAAGAAGCCTCCAAACAAGACTCCATAAGAGAATAAGTTCTAGTGGTTTTGGTTGATCTCACTTTATCTAAAGCATTTGTGAAACGGAAGGAGAAAGAAAGCAGAAATCAAGGCAAAATTTAAGGATTTTTTGGCTAAAAACTTGCGGCGATCAAAAGATAATAGGTAAGCAATAATTTATTATCTCAACTTAATACAAAAAGTTCTCTTTAGTGAAGGAGAGTTTTTGGAATTGACTGTACACTTTATACGTTTTAGAACCTCAGATTCTTGGACGTATATTTGTTGCTTCTTCTAGTTGTTGCTACTGTACTTGTTTTCTTTATCCTTATATCCTCTTTAGTTTCTTTAATTGGTTCTAAATACAATTTCACAAGAAACAAAAAGGGTGCGAATGGAACAAAATTATTATCTCATTTCTCAAAAGATTTTTTTAATGACATTTTCTCTGACATCGGCTGAATCTACTATCAAAACCTTAAGTTCAAGGGAGGTTAGTACTATTTTTAAAACCTTAGGTAAGGTGAGTGCAACTACTAGAAGTCTTAAGGGAGGTTTTTGCAATTATCCCATATTCCTTATTCAACATCCTTGACATGCAATGATCAGACGTGACTAATTTTGTTAAAGAAATGCAAATTGATTGTAGTAATATTATTTCTACTTGTTCACACTTCAGAAATTTTACTTTAGAGTGCAAATTAAATATGAAAATGTTAGTTAAGTCAGTGGAAAAGTGACGAGAAAAGACACTAGATGGATGTACTAATATTTAAGCCGTTAAAATTGAAATTTAGGTGCAAAGGAGAAAAAGAAATCCGCTTAAAAGTAGTCTATCTCGTGGAAAATCTGAATATATAAACCACAACATAAATCAAGACATCTTGAATTTGATATATGAAGCAAGAACTGTGAAGAGGTGATTTCTGGTGGGTAGTAGAACCGACCTAAATCAGTCCTCTCTCAAATGAGGTGTGATGAATCGGCTTATCTGAAGTGAATGGCAGGGCTTCTTCCCTGGGATTCTCTGACGATCAAGTTAGTATATTGAAGGAATAAAGAGTAATGAACAGTAAAAATGCAATAGTGCGCTTACTTATTGAGAGTGAATGGGGGTATTTATAGGGCAAGAATGGAGGACAGGACAGTGGGCTGATGTTAGTAGGACCCACGTCCTGGCCATTACGACTCTGTCCCATAGCAGGGGGCTTGACTCTGACACTGTAGCAGTCTGGACATGTTGACGAGGGGTTCCGTACAATAGTCATTTAAGAGCTTCAGGTGTTTTTCAGATAAAACACTGGTTCCGTATTGTGTTAGATAAGTTGACCTCATCAACGTGCAGCCGAAGTGGAAGGGCTAAGGTGCAGAGGTCATCCATGCCGTAGACCAGAGATCTGGCCGGACCCAAGGATGATGTCCAAGGGACATCGTCTCGGCTTGTATGACGAACGAGGCGGGGAAGACCTCGGCCGTGACTGTGGTCGAGGTGAGCATCCTCAAACTGCAGACGAAAAAGGGACAAAAAAAAAAAAAAAGAGAGGAAGAAATAAAGAAGAAATTGTAGTTAAGCCCCGAAGACGGACACAAAAGCTCTTGATATTAGTTCACATTAAGACCGTTACAGAAACTAGTTGTCACTGTCCAGTGTTAAACATTGATCTTGCATAAGCAAGACAATGCAAAAACATTTTTTGAAAGAAAAAAAAAGGCGAGAAACTTTTGCTTATTAGATATTCTGATCTAATTATAATAGCAGGAAATGTCGTCGAATTTTTGGGGATCCTTTTAAACACAAGCCGTCGGCGGTATTCTTGATATTCCTTGGCGATGCAGCTCCACCAGCACACTGTCAACAGACGGTGGTTTCAGCCCAAGTGGAAGCGGCTGCCACGGCTTCGATAAAACGTCTCCTATAGCTGCATCTATGCTCTCCTTGGACTTCATTTTTCACATAAAACCAAGGATCGAAAATGTCAAAGATAATCCAAGGTTAGTTGCTACAAGCAATAGCCAGATGAAATGTTGTATTTTAGTACGAAATTTCTCATCCATGGATTTTCTTTACATCATCACAATTATGTGTGTTGGTCAAACAAAATACACGGACAACCGTACGAAATAAAACCGGCTGTCCTTGAAAGATCTGGGAGCTTCATGCAGATTAATTGACTGGGGTTCCGGTCCAGATTGGATAGTGAATTTGGAATTTGATTGGTCAAACTGCTTTGTACACATTCTTGAATGCATTGTACAACTAAAGGGATCCACAATACACAGTGTAGCATCTGAACTCAGTAAAATTGCCTGCCCTAGATCCTAAACAGTGGCGGTATGAAAGCTTTCATGCTCCCTCTTAAAATTCTAAATTAAGGCTAGACTTTACGTGTTACCGAAGTGAATCTTCAATTCTTCCCTAAAAATTTAATGTTGAAATTTTTTTTTTTTAAAGTTGCCTCACCATAATCTGTTTAATTAAGAGTTGATTATTGATCACAACTCATAGCCTTAAATTGTACAAATGACCCTTGAAATCACAAATCTTAGTGCTCATTTGAATGGAAGCTTTTGGGAGTTTATGTAGAATAAAAAAAAAAATACATCGTAGCAATGCGATATATGTAAAATAAAAAAAATAATATTTCAACAACTTCTCCTTGAAAATTAGGGTCCTTAGTAATTCTAATTTATAATTTTTTTTTTCTAGAAAATCAACCATGGTTTCCCACCGACTCACGATGATTTCAACCTATAGCCTATCGGCAACGGGTGAAATATCTTATCAATTAGGCAATCGTACGTTGTATTCTAATTTATTATCCTTTAAGAAGACGTAAAAAACAAATTGTTCCTTGTCTTCCTTTCATCTGATCCTCGTGAGAGTTTCAGATTAGACAAGATATGGTACGACTAGTAGACACGGGCAACTATTACCAGAGATGGGTGCGAAAAGAAGAGAATTCCTTACCGGGTGAAAATCAATGGGAGGTTGAGGTACGGGCTGTCCAGCAGGGGCTGTTGGGACAGCAATGCCGGGGTCTACTTTGTACAGCGCTGGTGGTGGGATGCCAGGGACAGGTGGAGTCGGAAATCTCTGCATGAAAACGTGAATACGTATGTACTGTAAAGTTCTTTAGGACTGAAAAGATATATTTGTCACCACAGTTGGAAATGATTGGGGTTTTTCTTTTTCAGATGGGATATTCCTCAGAAATCAGAATTCTGCCTAAAAGACACTATGGCCTATTACTAGTTCAATCAAGGCTCGTGCACTAGGGTAGTCCAACTTATGTTCATGCGCCTTTAAATTTAAAATTCAATCAATAAATTTACACAACTAATTAATTTGGTGCATTTACAGCTACAAAAAGAGCGAAAATTCCTCGCTTACTGTTGGTGCAAGATGTGGTGGAAAGCAAGGTGTGCCTGGAGTTAGAGAGTTTGGAACCTGCATATCAAAGAAAAGTCACATATTTAATAATTGAGAAAATTACCTTTTACCCTCCTGATTTGGCGCTTCATTATTACATAACTCTCTATGATTTAAAAATTTATACATAGTCCTCTCATAATTTGGGTTAAAATATCACCATTAGTTTTTTTTCATTAAAATTAACGATCAATATTAAAAAGTCAAAGTTAAATTAATAAATTGATAAATTTACCCTTTGATTGCTTCTTTTTTTTTTTTTTTTCAAATACAAAATAGAAGAAAGGAAAATAAAAAAGATAATAAGTAATGGAAAATACCAAAGTCTTTAAACTAAATCTTTAATGGTATTTCCATTTCTTATTTATCTATTTTTTTATTTCCCTCTCTTCTTTTTTAATATAAGGAAAAATGAAATTTAATTAAGATCTATTAGGTCAAATTTTAGTTGTTTTTAAGTCACCTCTTCTCTTCCCAAAGGAAAAAGGAAAAGAGAAAGAAAAGAGAAAAACAAATATTGACAGTTAATGTTAATGAAAAACTAATAGTGACACTTTAATTCAAAACATGAGTATGTTGTGTATAGAATTTTAAATCCGAGGGGGGGGGGGATTATGTTTATATTTTTAAATCATAAGGGGATTTTGTGATAAAGCACCAAACTACACGAGTATAAAAGGTAATTTATCCTTAATAGTTCACAATTTCAATAGAATTATTTTTTTCTGAGGAAAATAAAACATCAAAATGAGAAGGGATTTTCTTACACGAGCATGGTGTGAATGCCAAAAGCAAGGGTCTGGCGGTGGTGTTGGAGGGTGAGCCGGTGCGGCAGGTGCCCAAGTAACTGGTGGAGGTGGAGGTGATGGTCCTAAATGTTTAGGCCAAACGGGCATTAGAGATTGGTCGACGGATGGATGACCCCAGACATGTAAGGGTCTAAAATGAGGCATAGGTGCCATGGGAGGAAATCCCATAGTAGGGGCAATCCAATGGTTCATTTCTCTCTTTCCTCCTGCAGCAGCGGGCGCGGCGGCGCCGCCATACATTTGCCGTCTTTGGGTCCAGTTTGCTGCCTCAGCTTCTCGAGCTAGCAGATGCTTCCTGTGGGATCTGTACTTCTGCACATATATCAAACTTTGGTATCAAACGTTTGCACTTGTATAAAACTTGAGTATCAAGTTCAAGCCATAAAAAATGATTCTTTTTGGTCCAAATGTTCAGTTAATTATATATGTACAAACATGAGGACGAAAGATAAGGTTTAGTGCTTGAATTATTCTTGACAGAATCACTAAGAATAAATGTCAGGGAAAAGTCTCCAAAATGAGCGCAACAAAAATTGTACCAACTTCATGGCGGAATTTTCTTTTCTAAGTTAAGAATTTACCGACTTGGTGATTGTAACGGAGAAAGAAAATGCCGGGCCTTGAAGGAAGGGGAAAAATAACTTTCTTTTAAAGTGCTATTGGCTTGGTTCGAAAGTCAGTATGCTCCATAAAGTAAGAGACAAAAGGCTAAGGAAAAGAAACAAAAGTTGAAATGTCAAGCTTTCGATCTGTCTTCTGTCTCAGACTGAAGACCCTGAACGCATGTAATGTGCATACATTAAAATGAATGACAAAAACCATATATATGGACTGGTACTACTGCAATTTTTCTACCATCCTACTGCAATTTTATGCAACTTAAGAAAAGTTTGAACTGTTTTTAGATTGTTCTTCCACTCTTTTTCTTGCACATAAGGAGGAATAAAAAGGAAAAGAAAAATACTCATACTGCATGGTGACCTTGATTTAAACAAGGGTTTGGAAAATAGGAGGATATATGAGAGAAAACAACAGCCTTGCACCTGTATGCATCTAGTTGAGAGGATGAAGTTTATTATTGTTTTGGGGACAAGAAAAGAAGTGAAAAAGAACAAGATAAGCTGAACCTAAGGACAAGAAATAATTTTACTTCAGGCTAAAAAAAGAAAACAAAGGCTGATTCCAAACAAATCTGAGGAACTTAGGAGAACTAGATAGAAGAAAAGGAAAGAAAAAGAGAGGAAAATGAAGAAAAAAATTGCATACTTGAAGATGGCTGGCTATATTGTGCCGAGTGAGACAATCAATTCCCATAATCTCAAGAATTCTTGAAGGGACTGCCTTGTCCACACCCAGCTGCTCCACTGCTTGTACAAACCGCCTGTGCAGCTCTGGCGTCCAGTCCACCTTCACACAACTCAAGAAATCATTTCCCATCTTTAAATACATATTACAACTAAGTACTAACTAAAAATAAATATTCAAAAGATTTTCTCTTTCTCTCACACACAAGCGCGCAAGAAAACATGTTCAGACAATCGCTTTCATATGAAGCTTTAAAACCCTATCAAGATTCTCGTGAAGTTTGCTTCTCAATAAGTTTGTGAACAACTAACTGAGTAGCCATTAGCCTATTATATAAATATGTTTAAAAAATTTAGTATATAAGTTTTAGTTATAATAGTAGTGCATATAAAACAAGCTTGCAGACTAAACCCTAGAAACTAAGATTAGCTTAAAACCTAATTATCTTAATTACCTTAACTTTCCTCTTCCCTTGGGGATTAGCTTTTGACTGTGTAGATGATTTTCTTGCTTTATCAGCTTCTTTAGCAGAAGGGTTCGCGGCTACAGATTCATCTCTTTTACTCGTGACCATATCGTCAGTCTGAGTCAAGGTAGACCCCGAGCTAGCATCCGGGCCTGAATAATTAGCCTTATCCACCTCTTCTTTTGCTGAATTTTCCTCCATTTTCTCATTGGATGTTGATGTGGTTGTAATCTCTGATTCCTCACCTCCACTGAGTGAAAATTCAGCAAGAATCTCAGGGTCCATCTCCAAATCTGGTAATACATCTTCATCATTGATACCAACAAATAGGTCATCGAAATCAATACTATCAAGCAAATTCCCGCATGAAAAGTCCGGAAAGTCGTCTCCTCCTCCATTCTCAAAACTCTCCATTTCGTCCTGTCTTTCATCTTTGGTAGTCCTCAAAGGAGACACAGCAAGCATTCCAAACACTATAATCAAGCTCTTTGCTAAAAAAAAAAAGGTTCCCTCCTATGTAGGTTAATCTCTAAGTATATGCACTAGGTGGTGCAATTCTAAAGTTTTTCGATATTTCACGCAACCACCACCGCTGAAGGGGTGAATGCTAGTATAAGGTGAGTTCTTGATTTTCCGGCAAGTCTTTTCCCGGGGCAGGAAGGAGGGACAACCAGTGCAAATGGGGTACGGTGGTCTAATTTTTTGTTGTATTTGGCAGTGTAAGTGGGAGTGTGTAAAGCTTAGATCTCCACCACAACTTGTATGGAGGGTTCTCAGATTTGTATTTATGCGTTTGTTTTATATTTCGTAATATATGTAGATGTATGTAATATATATTGTGCAAAGTTTATGTGTTTTGTGGATGTCCTTTTTTTGAAGTTTCAAAAAATCTATTGAAGTGCCCCGTGAGCTGTTTTAAATTAATTTGCCTACAGACTTTAGGGGTGAGAGAAAGGTCCAAGTTGATATCATAGGCTTCAAGGAATTTAATAATGACGTATTTAATCATTTTGTTGGATTGAAAAAGATTACACCATTATTTTTGTTTCCTTTTCACAAGTTAAGATAACATATAGATACATTTCCAGTTTCATATATCTACATACATACATATCCATATGAAGTATATTTAATGACAACAGCCTAGGGAAAGCGCCAAGACCCATTAAATGTTTACCACTTTTTGGCTAGTTTTTCGAGCAAGTGGTTGATTAATGTACAAAGAGGTGCACAGATTTCCTTTTTTTTTTTATTCTACTTTTTTAAAATTAAAAATGAGTATTTAATTGCTCATAGAGAGTTTAATCACCATCACCCGGATGTAACTTTTACCATCCAGCACCCAAAGAACAAGATACAAACATAATTTCTAACATATTCTTTTTTAATTTTCCAATCATTTTTTATAATTCATATGCATCACATCGCAAAAATTGTCATAGTAATTATTTCAAATAATCTCCGATCCAAACACATTTTGCGCAAGAAACTAAGTCATGGCAATGAAGAACCAGTTGAATTTCAATTGGCATGGGCGAGCTATACGCGTATAGGCGGGTAGCCAAAGTGTCTTTTTTTTTTATACGAAAGTGATATTTGTACTTTAAGAATAATTTCTAGCACTCTAATCTATTCTTTTAAAAATTGAAATGCAAGTGTCAGAGAATTATTTGGAATGTAAGTGTCATTTGCTTATTGAAAACCCTTTTTTAATGCTGTATCTTTTATTTAACTTAGCCTGTGTTTCATAAATGACAAGGCCTTCCCTAAAGTTTCTAAAATTGCATCCACCTTCCTCTATGCTCATTGAAATACTCCAAAATATTAGCCTAACAAGAAAATGGTACTACTCTCGTACTTGTCTCCCACTTCTAAAACCTCGAAAATTACTCCAAAATGACTCGTAAAAGTTGACAGAAAATGTTGCAGTAGAAATCATTGGAAATGTTAGTGAGTTTGATTTACGAAGAAAAAGACAAGGAGCTCAGGAAAAGCTGAGACTTCCTTTTGGATAGGGTGACAATCATCTTAATTTACCTTAATTATGAAGATTTTGGCTCTAAATATGATATAAGGCCGATTTACCTTAAGTACGTCTGGGCTTGATATCGATTCTACAATATAAATTTAAGGGGAGATGTTTTTATTTTGACGCATAACAACTACTCATTTTGGAGTAACTTTTTAAGGATGTAATTATATGGAAGAAATTTTCTTCCTCAAAAAAAAAAAAAAAAATCTCTGGACCCAATATCCAAATCTTCAGTTTTGAGATGATCTTTATAGCCCCGATAATCTTTGCATGCTTTCAACTGCCATATCTAATATAAATCTCTGGACCCAAAAAAAGAAGAGTTTAAATATGACATATGCAAATAATATAAGATATTGCTAAGCGAGATTAGGGAAGTTCAAGCAAAAGAGATTCGGCAAGTTATAAAAGAATGGAGAAGAAAGAACAAAATTTGCTAAGAGGGACATGTTATAACTTGCACGAGAAAATGTTAAGAGAGAACACTAGAAAATCTTGAAACCCTAGAAGAGGATAAACTCTCGTTAAAAAAAGAAAAGTCTAATTAAGAACGAGAAGAGAGAAAAATTGTATTAGGAGGAAATAACATCCATTAGAAGAGAGACTTAAAGGCTTCTTAATTATCCATAGTAGAGAAGAACTTTGTGGAGGGACTTTGTGTTAGAACAACAATAAAGAAAATACTATAAAATGACTGTAAAACTAACAAGAAAAAGGTTTCAAATCGTAATTAAAACTATGCATTACATTGACAGGCTATTATATCCCTCTGCTCATATTATGCAATTATTGTTGGAAAGTAAGAAAGTTTTCTTCAAAAAAATTTGAGCAACAACTAAAATTTACAAATTCAACATATATTAATTAAAAGACTTTTTCCATCTTGCATTATCACTTTTCAAGTTGCAGGCGTCTGTGCAAGTAGCATGGAGTATGCATAAGAGCATGTAGAAGTTTGTACATGACATGACAATGTACAAGTAGACGTGTAGTGTGATGATCTTGACCATTAGACAGGTCATTTTATCGACCCAAAACTTGTACAGGCTTGAGTCATGGTCAACTAGTCAAGCCGTTGTTTAGCCATTCGATATGATTTAGTTCAATTTTCTGCAATACTTGGACTGTATCTCTAGTATTACAAAAATGCTTTTATGAACTTGACTTAGTTTGTCAGATCAACTGAACATGTAACCTGCGGTACATGTACCTGTGGAGATGCAGTCCTTTCCTTCACCTATAATTGCACTACTTCCATTAATTCTCTGTTTCCTGCCTACTTCTTCCCAGTTGCATCTTGAACGTGAGGCTTATTCAATTTTATTTACCAAATATTCAGAATTTGGTTGACTCTTATTAGGCTATATAAAACATTGCAGTCTAGCTCCAGACGGGTCAAGGGTTTAAATCCTTGCAGTTACCTTTAAATTCAAAGGATGCGCAATGATATACCCCTTTGATTTAATAGTGGTGAGTTTAATTATCTCCCTCTAACTTTCGCGGATGCTCCTCTAGAATAAATTAGAGTAGGAGTAGGAGTATATAAATGTTACTGCTATCTGTGTGTTTATCCAAGGATTTTTTTGAACTTAATAGTTCTTTCGGAATAGGAATTTCGGTTTCCAAGATACTTATTAAACCAAATATAGAACTTGTTGAAAACATTGTTCTACCATAAATTAAGTTTCATTAGGTATTTAAGATGAAAGGTAATTGTTTTTGTCATGCAGCGAAAGAATGAAAAGTTAAGTGGCGTATCAAAGTAGAAAATTGGAATGGGATTTAAATATGCATTAATTAGCTCCATGCATGATCTCCAAGAACGTACTAATTAAGAAAATGCGAAACTCAACTGTATTAACTGAGAAAAAAAATCTAGACATAGTATAAAACCACAGATCTATAGATTAATGAATTTCCTTGAAATTTGGAATATGTAGCTAAAATAAAAAAGGAATGTGTAAGTTCAATGATGAAACATTCAATATTACTTAAAAAAAACATGAAAATTAAAGTAAACGAATATTAACCATTGACAAGACTAATTAGTTTATGCTTTACTGATCATTAAAAAGTAAACCTGAATAAAAGATTATGCACATTAGCAATCTTTAATGCTCATAATTCATTAGCTTGTGCCATATATTTTACAATGTTTGGGTAAATGAAGATCATTAACGGCTATAAATTGTAATTTTTGCTGGCAAAGTATTTATGGGTTTTACTTGAAAAGTGGTCCTTTTAGACCATAGTTCCATTACCAGAACATAATCGCACTAAATCATTTCCTGTCCTAATTCTAAGTCAGCTTCTTCCGCAGCTTGTTTTGAAAAAAAGGGCTCAAGTATATATACATATATTGACCTCAATCTTATCTTATTACGTAGTCACAGAAAATTCCAATCTGTTTGCATCTCATAACGTTGAAAATTGACTATCCTGTTTTACAAACAGACTAGGAAAATTCATCTTCTATGTGCAAAAAGAATGGTCTTCAACCTCTAAACCTTTTGTTTCTTTATATTAATAGTAGTCTTCCGCTCACTCCGTTGATGACTCAAATCCGTAATCTCTCAGTTACAGGTGAAACAGTTCAATGCTTCATCAAATTTATGGCTCAAACCATGCTATCTGTATATGCTTGCTTCTTTCTGCATTGCATGATCTTACACGGTGGAATATGTTACTGAAGCTCGAACAAAGATGCTCGAACAAAGTTAAAAGGTCTTGTGTACTAATTCCTTGGCATTTTCCCATGGACTCAAGTCAACCGTTCTTGTCTCCTATGGTTATATTCCATGGCTTACTATTGCAAGAACACGGGCATGATCTTTTTCTTTTTTCTCTTTCAATAAATACATCAGATTGTGGCTGGGCAAATCCAAGCCTCAGCCATTGCCATTCTAGTAATTCAAGATTGAACATAATTAAAATAATACATGCAGACACTGACGTACGTTTTTGCTGTTTATCAAAACGTCTTATTATATGTTCAAAATTTTCTCAACTTTTGACTTACGTGATACCATTTTCAAATAGGAACTAGCTTTTAACCATGTATCATCTAGTTTAATTGAACCTTGGTGTGATTAAACTAGCCTTGTCTTAGTTTAGTGTGATTTGTGATTGCTCTAGGCAATTTGCATTGAATTTGACTTATGTTTGATGTGAATTGGTTTTTGACAATAGATTCAAAGTACTGAATTCAAACTATCTCTCGAGCTAAGATTATCTCATGCAGTTGCAGGAAAGATTGCTTCTGCAACCACCAAGAAACTCAACCCATTTGCATCACATAACCCTTAAACATCAAGCCATTTTGATGTTCTTACCCTCCGTACAAGCAAACAACATATGTTGGGCTCTAAAATCATTGTTTTCTTTTTTAAGAGAAACATTTCCCATCTAGTAAAACCGACCCTTTGCTCAACCCTCTATCTCCTTTGGC